GTGTAAAAACTGGTGATCTCAAATTAGGCAATACCAGCGCCAGCCGCGCCTGAACGCAGGTCAAGAAAGGAATGGGTAGGAATGTGTTGACGTGACACTCGCTTTGATGGAAGCCGAGAAATCCTCTGCACTTCCACGAGGAGTCACTGGGATGTTGGGTAAGAGGGTAGGGTTTGCAGCAAGGTTTGTTTTGGTAAACGATAAGCTGAATTTTTGTTTGAACCATAGGGAGGGGTTACTGTATAAATAAATAAAAAATAATGATCTCAGCCAAATAACCAAGTGAAGCTGCACCAACAGCAACCGGCCAAATTCATATTATATTATAATGAAATAAAAGGTAAATAACAATGATAAGCTATTTGATACACCTTCTGGTCCTTCAGGATCTGCAGGACAACTATTTTCTAGAAATGAAAATTTTAGTTATAATGATATAATGAGATTTTAAATATGTGAAATAAAAGTAATTTACTAGTCATGCAATATATAAAAGAATGTAAAATAGACAAGTATTACAAAATACAAATAAGCTCGATTTCAGTTAACCTCAATACATTCAACTGATTTCAACTTCTGATATTTTATTGGAATTGAAACAAACACTTTATTATGCACCATGGAATTTCTTAACGCAATATGGAATGCTTTTAAAAATATTGATAATCTTTCATAATGCATCAATAGTTAGAAAAATCGAGGTTATTTGGACAGTTAACAGTTTTTATGCAATGGATATCATGCATTTCAATGTTTTTTTTATATTTTCCTGAACGAAGGCTGAAAATAGTGAATCATTATAATATTAATCTAAAAATGTCGAAGAGCTGAAAATGAACTTAAAGTTTTAAATCAATGAGTCCAGCCTAAACGGAGGGCTCGCGAACACAATAAGCTTCCTCATCACTCATATTCAGAATTGATCGGCGCACAGGTCTAAGTAGTACAGGAAAAATTCCATTCCTACCTGGTGACTTGAAAGGTTCAAAGGAGTCAATCGCTCATTCAAATTTTCTTACAGTAAAGATTTTGTTGGCCAAAGTGCAAGCATCAGCTCTTGTTCTGTCTAACTCAGTCGTTTCATTCAATATTTCATGAATATCCGTCCTGGTTTCATCGATACCAATTGGTGTAGTGGTAAGCGTGACTGCTTTCTAACACCCCAATGGGTCTGGGTTCAATCCCAGCCGAGGTCGGTGGGATTTTTCTGAGGCATAAAAATCTCTGGCCACGTCTTCCTTCGGAAGGGAAGTAAAGCCGTTGGTCCCGCCCCATATTGTCATGTGTGTTGAATGGGTGCGATATCCTACGCAGGTGTGGAAGCTGCCTTCCTGCACATTCGATTGCCGTCAATGGATGGCAATCGATGTCCGTCGGTGATTGGCACTAGATTGCCGAACAGAGACCGACGTTAAATAAATGAAAGAAAGAGTATTTTCTGCAACCTAGCAGTTGCTGGAGTATTTTCAATGTTCTCACATGTATGCCTCCAGTGTATCCTCTTTGATCTCCGTATTTCCTTATTATAGGCGGTGAGGGATTCCTTATATTGTTCCCACTGTTGTGTTCGTTTAGCGCTATTGAAAAGCTTCCGGGTTTTTTTTACGAAGTTTCTGTAGCCTTTTGTTCCACCAAGGTACATCCCTGTTTGTAGAGCGTTCCTTTTCGATGCAACTCTCATAAAAGGTATGTTGGATCAATTTTGAAATTTGGCTGGTGTTAGTATGCGTGGGCAAGCTACCAGTTAAGCCAAATCGACGATCAAATGCATTGTTTACAAAATATTCGTCCCTTCATAAAAGTAATCGAGAAATATATTTTAATTCTTAATTACAATTCGGTCTCGGTATCGTGAAGAATAATGGTTTGTTTTAGAATGCAGCAAGCGAACCATGTTAGTTTTTAAAAAAGTTTCCAAACAACTTCTAAAATTTGCAGTTGCTCACGTTTTTAAAACATGGAATCATTAAATACTTACCTGTTCTGATTAGTATTAACCGGGAAATTTTCAGATTTCAACCGAAAAAAACGGGAATTTAGAAGTGAAGATTTACTGACCACCCTAGTATGGGAAATAAGTGTTCATCGATTTTTTAAACTGACCTTATACAAAATGTTCATTGCCTCGAAAAGGACCATATGCAAAATTTGGGCTCATGAACATGATTTAGCGTGGCACAAAATCGTCAAAGTTTTTACTTTTTTCATCTGATAAATCACGCTGACCACTACACACCGGCGCGCTATCCTTTATTCTTAAAAAAAAACATGAAAGTTTAAATTTATGCCAACGACACGAAGCTCCAGAATGAAATACACATCCCGAGCAAAGTCGGATATCAAAATACTATCAAAATTATAACAAATTATGTTTTTGAAATCATGTTCATAATTTTGATATGCTAGGGGAAATGGTTCTAATGTCGGCCTAAATGCCCCTAATTAGGGGTATTTAGGCCGACATTACATCCATTTCCCTTATATAAAAATAGAAAAAAAAGTGACGTAGAGAGGGGATGGAAAATGGTTCAGGAGAAAATAAATATCACCTGGTTGGCCTTTTTTTTCTACCAGGTTTAGAGGACAATATTTTGATATTGTAAATAAAGGGCGAACACGAAATTTTTGCGACACCGAAAATGTCATGCCAATTTTCTTATAATGTTTAGAATCAAACCAACATTTTAGGGTAGTTTTATACATATATTTACTTCAAAAATCAAAAGAAAAGTTAATCGATGGAGCCTTGAGTGTAAAATTGAACGCATTTTCGCTTGATGCCCTCCATCAAAGTCTTTACAGTGTCCGGTACCAGTTTCTCAGTTTTTTTTTTCCATTTTCTTAACATCGTCTTTGACTGTCTTCTTGCTCTTCCGAAGTTCCCGCTTCATTATTGCCCAGTACTGCTCCACCGGGCGCAGCTCCGGACAGTTTGGCGGATTCATGTTCTTTGGAACAAAATGGACAGAATTGGCCTCATACCACTCCAGGACACTTTTAGAATAGTGGCATGATGCCAAATCTGGCCAAAATAGCAGAGCTTCGTCGTGCTGCTGCAAGAACGGCAAAAGGCGCTTCTCGAGACACTCAGATTTGTAGATCTTGCCATTTACTGTGCCCTTTGTCACGAAAGGCTCACTCCTCAGTCCGCAAGAGCAGATGGCCTGCCAAATGAGATATTTGGAGGCGAACTTCGACATTTTCTTCTTCTTAAATTTGTCGTCCACATCGAACTTGCTCTTGCCGGTGAAAAACTTCAACCCTGGCTTTTATATACGTTTCGTCGTCCATCACACAGCAGCCATATTTTGTCAGCATCTTCTCGTAGAGCTTCCGTGCCCGAGTTTTAGCCGTCGATTGTTGCCGCTCATCGCGGTTTGGGAAGTTCTGTACCTTGTATGTATGTAGTCCAGCTCTCTTCTTTGCATTCTGAACGTAGCTCTGCGACATGCCGATCTTTTTAGCCAAATCACGGCTTGAGACGTTGGGATTTGTTTTAATCATCCGCTTCACCTTTCCCTCCGTCTTTTTGTTCTCCGGTCCCGGTTTTCTTCCAGCTCCTTTGCCGTGGTCCAACGTCAACCGCTCCTGGAACCGCTTTAACACTCTGGAGACGGTTGAATGGTGAATGTTCAACATTTTTCCCAACTCCCGGTGCCACAGGTCAGGAAATTCCAGGTGTTTGGAAAGAATTTGTTCTCTCAACTCGCGTTGGTTCACCTCCATTTTCGTTGAATCGAAAAACACGACTTCGAGTTTGACAGCATGTACACAATACACATCAATGAGAAAGTGTGCAAAATTTGGTTGATTTTTACCCAATGGTAAAAAAGTTATGCCCTGTTGAATGTGTCGCAATAATGTCGTGTTCGCCCTTTAAACGAAACTGAGAGGAATTTCATTACATTTCGGCAACAACGTTAAACTCGAAATTTTCAGCTCTAAACGTAACGAAACGAAACAAAAAGCAACGAAACTGATCAAAAATATTCCGGGAACTCCATTTCGAAGCGAAATAAATGGAATAACTCTTTATATCACATGCAGTTAATTACAAGGTTGAAGAAGACACTTTATTAACAACAATGTCAGACTTCGTGTGAACATTTCTTCCACTAGTATAGAACCTTAAGATAGAATTGCCACAACTACTGGAACAGTGTTTCTTTTTATGGAGGACGAATTTTTCAAAAACATATTCAATTTAATCCCAATGTTATATTTTCCTCAGCAAAATAGTGGTGCAAAGCTATTGATTTACACATAAAAATTAAATGAAGAACGTTTGTTTATTTTTAAAATGCTGGTTCACCACAGCTACTGCATCAGCCAATATCAGTAAAGTACCATGCGTCAACATTTAAACCGTGCAAAAAACCGGAGGCTCGCAGAAGCCGTGTCTTATCTTGCAATTTCCCAAATGACTCCATGATGTTAATGCAGGCTCAAACTACCAATCATAATAAAAGTGGATATTTATGCGAATTCATTAAGCGTGACACTGTTAACATGCAACACAATTATCACGTTAACTTAAAACGCGATACTCGTCGCTTGAAATTCATAAACAAGTTTTGCCCGTTCCACCATTACGTGGCAACTTTATAGCCGACCAATTTCGGGCACCGCAAAAAGCTCCAACTTTAAACCAGAAAAGTTTCGCTCCCGAACACGCCACAGCCACATTACGGGTCCCCAGCATGAATAGCATTCGTGTACATATATAGTAGGAGGCAGTAACAACACAAAACAGAATTCAAGTGGAAAAAGAGCTTTTGTACACGAACAACGGAGACTTCGAGCGAGTGAAAAATGCTTCCTCCATCCAGTGCAGCTTAGTGGGCAACACGTAAAATTTGATTAAGTCATGCTAAATTGAATCATTTTTTTCACTTTCTCTCTCTCTTTTCTTTTGTTTTTCCAACTCTTTTCATGGAATCCGAACACGGACGGAAACGCAAATTCCTCCCTCAACATCAACAATCAACAACAACCATTAGGGACGGATGTCAAGTGGCGCCCGGTTTCACACTGTCCAAAGTGTTTACGCTGACTCCACTGTTGGCCAACAACAAAGACAAATGGGGCCTGGCACTCGACGGGCAGCTGAAGCACGAGGATACCAATCTGGCCTCCAGCACGTTGTAAGTATTATGCGCCGTACTGCGCGCGCCTTATTCCCCATTTAGAGGAGACCAGTCCTTAATGCACCCCTGGGGTAAAATGCCCCCTCGTGATTTTTCGTTGCTTTACCAATACTAATTCTTGGATTTTTTGTGTCAGAATGCTAGTTCAAGTATTGAACTAGCAACGCTGCCCGTTAAATTCATGAATTCACAATCGGAAAGCTACGAAAAACAGCGCGGGGAAATTTTATCCGAGGGGTGCGGTTTAGACCCTACCTTTTTTTTTACTATCGGGAAGGTAGACTCCTCCACATACCCACCACCTATTCGTCCTGTTCCTCCACTCTGAGTCTTGCGTTGTCTCCCTCAGTGGGTGATTGTCTTTTCTGGCCTCCCGGTAAACCAACATGAGAAAAGCAAAGAAGAAAAACAGCAAACACTTCAAAGTAGGATAACGATGCTCTCTATACACGATACAGCCTATTTTTATTGTCCTACCCGCAACGTCAAGCTATGGTTGAGGTTAAGAAGAACTCTCTACTTTCAACCAGACTTGGGTACTGAACCGAGGCTGCACTTGACTGTTTTTATCGCGGTTCACTTAAAGGTATGATTTTTCCATGAATCCGATGTTTATTCGACTGATAAATGATGAAAAACCAGCGTCACGAAGAAATTAGAACATTTGACTTAAACCATGTTTTGAAAAACCTTGGTGAACCCCGCGGTTTTCGTGAAACAGTGCAAAACACCACGGTTTTTGTGGCATGGTTCATGTAAAAAGTTCTAATTTCTTCACCATCGGATTCATGAATAAAATATTAATTTCAGTGAACCGTGACGAAATTTATCGCACAAGGTCCTCGATTTACTTCCCAAGCCTGCTTTTAACCCCCTTTTATTATGTCTGTCGTCTGCATTTTTTCTCTATCTGTGCGTCCACATTTTCCGAGTTGATCCTCCTGGCAGTCATTGCAAATTATGCGAATTGTTTTAAAAGCTTTCTTTTTGCGGAGAATTTATTTATAGTTTGTTTATTTTCCTCCTACAATGTAACAAAATTTCCCTGACTGTAGCTTTAAAGTTTTTGTGTTGTTGCAATATCCTTCCCTGTTAATACGCCGGCACTTTAATCAACGTAGAAAGCTTTCAAAGCCAGAAATGCTTTCTACGCTTCGTGTATTTCAGCACACAGTAGAAAAATAGCCCATTAGCGTAACTTTTCCAGCTTTCTGTTTTCGGTTGCACTATCGCTGTTGTTTGTTTATAGCTATAATATAGTCCGGTAGGTAGTCTAGACATGCACAACTTTTTCATTTTGAATTTGTGTTCAAAGTGTAAACTTTTTCGCTGCCAATATTTGGGCCGTTCATCGTTTCACTATGTGTTTCATTGTGGCTGCTTGTATACTCAGGATTTTTGTTTACATGAAGCCCGTAGTTTTGATCATGTTATCTCGGGTTGCAAACAAAATACAAAACATTTTGGGTTGTGTTAAAAATTATGTACTCATCCTACGAGCAGAAAAACGAAACAGTTTAGTGGATCAATGTTTAAGCAGTTCTATGTTGTATCACAGCAAAAAAAATATTTTGATATCACATCAAAGTGTATGCACTTCAATTGTGTCAAAAATATGGTGTAATATTACTTGCAAAAAAGGACAAAATAATCATTAATACAGTGCATGAACTAACATTACACTGCTTTTATTGCGTTTGTTTATTTTTGTGGACATAAAAATTACATGAGATTTTCGACATGATCGAAGTGCATTCTCTTGGATGTAATATTAAAATTTATTTTTTGCTGTGTATATTAAACGAAGCCTTCTAGAGACTTGGTTGATTCGACAAAGTTGACCTTGAGATTACATGGAATAAAGTTGGTAAAAACATCAAAAGCGTCATAAAAATTAAATGTCAATTTTATTTGATGTTGCAGGTACAACAACAGCAAAACATCTATTTTAAACCGTTTCTAACTAAAAATTTAAATATGTTTTACATCTGAAAAAAACTATAAACTTCATTTTTGTTTTCTGAACTACTCGGAAATAGTAGGCTGAGGAGAACTTTTACATCTGAAAAGAGTTGTTTATATGTAGTTGAAAGATAAACTGGAAGATTTGAAAACATGTATCTAATTTGAAAACATTTATTTTTCGCAGAAATTTAATGTTTTGTGAAGACCAAATATATTTTAAAATTGAACACCATTGTAGATTTCTGTAGGAAAAAAATCTTTGATTTAGCTTATTAAATGGTTCCTTGTAATTATGGACAAAGGCGTAGCCAGGCTGCAAAATACAGAAGGGCAAAATCTCCAATAATGTGCTCATATTTCAAAGGAAGATAAATCTGCTAATATACCATAAATTTTCCTTAAAAAACCATTTCATGAATTTTCATGGAGAGGGTTGTTTCGAGAAATTTTAAATAATATCCTCGCCAAATCGGCGTGAACTTTAAGTTAAAATTGCGCCAAACTCGCAAAAATTGCGAAATCCGCGTTGTCGTAATTCAGGGCTAAAATATCAGACATTCGATTTATTTTAAGTTAACAATGCTAAAAAATGTGACATTATTCTGTGAATTTATTATTGTTGAAAAATTCCGTTTGCAATTGAATTTCCATTTTAATCCTAACAGAATTTTAAAATCTGATAATTTTGTTTAATAAGCATTTTAAATCACTGTAGCCCAGTAAATGTTGATGCTTCTGTATAAATGTATTTATACAGAAATTATTAAAATATTCCTAATATCTAGTTCATGCAAATAAATTTTGAAGTTTTAAATATTAAGCATTTTGCACCAAAGTAGACCGCTGCGCCCAATATAATTCCCCAGATTCCCCTAGCTCAGGTCAATCAAAATAAAAGTTGAAAATTTTGAATGTAATATAGCACTGCATTTTAGAATATCCTATGGAACTTTGAAAAATAGAAATCTTTATCCTTTTCTAGCCTGAGCAAAAACAACGCTGCGAGATCACCCCTAGCGCAGGAGTCCATTCTGGTCTACTTTAGGATCAGAAAGTATTGCGATTTTCACTTACTTCTGAAGAATAATTCAAGAAGCTCCTGGGAAGAATGCAATTGTAATTCAAGGAATTATTCTAATTAATGTTTTAGGACAATACTTAGAAACTGCTGAGGACTGCTGAAATTGTTTAAGAATTTCAAGATAATTCCTCGAAAATTATCAGCAAATTTAAAGAGAAATCCTGTGAATATTAATCAGGCATAGGGGAAAACATCTAAATAGATTCGAGATTTGAGCATAACTGCTTTTGTAAACAAACACATTAGCAAGAAATCAGCGATTGGCGTGTTTGTTTAGAAAAGGAATAACGCTCAAATCTCGAATCATTCCGGACATAGAAAAAAAAACATACATATAAGCATTCCAAGACTTAAAAAATAATGATGTAATGAAATTGGGTTGTTAGCAAAATGCTTAAATAAAACAGCAAAAAAGGTTATCTTCCTATTAATTCCACTTAATAAATTTTGGTATCCATGACAGATACGTATTTCGAATACAATGTGCAGTCTTCATCAGTGTCATGTCCTTTTTTTAGTGGGAATGACACTGATAAAGACTGCACATTGTAGTCGAAATACGTATCTGTCATGGATACCAAAATTTATTAAGTGGAATTAAATGAAAGATAACCTTTTTTGCAATTCTAAGGTCGTGTCTTGGATTACTCGGATACAACCTCTTACTTTTTTGTTAAGGATTTTAACCGGATGGGGAACATGTTTGAGACAGTCTGAACTTAAACAAATATGAGATCTTATCCCATCTAAAAAGTGTAGCTGCAGAATAGCTTATATTGGCAAAGATTGGCCTATACAGCTTGTGTAAGCTAGGATAAGTATGCCAGTTTTTGGCCTAACTCAAATTGGGAAAAACAGGGTTTTATTTGCGTATATATATGGCAAAATATATGTTCCGACTTGGAGTAGAAATAAATTTGAGAATGAATTATAAACAATGAAATTTAAGATAGACTGGCCAAAACTGGTCAAACAAGCCGCAAATGTAAATAAATAACTCTGTTCAATACTGCTCGACTAAGTGATTGCTTTGAAGGTATTTTTAGAAGTCTCCTGGGATTCGAAGAACTTCCTTTGCATTCTTTTCAAAATCCACTTTAAGTTTTTTTTTTCTATTCTTTAATTATTTCACCTTTAGTTAAAATTCCCTTCGAATTCTTTAAATTTTTCATCACCTGGAAATATCCTTACAATTCCTATTCGATTTTCGTATTCCCAAGTATTCATCTAAAATTTCCGTGGTATCTTGTTTCGAACTCCCGCTGAATTTATCCTCGGAATCGCATTGTAACTCCATTTGGAGTGTCATCGGAATTCACATAATTTCTTAGTAATTCTCAAAATTAATTTGTAGCTCTCCTCTCAATTTGCATAGAATTCAATAGATGATCAATTTTTCCCCCGTGATCAACTTGCCCCCCGCAGAATTCCCTTGGAATTTTCTTTAAATTTTACTAGAAATCCTCATAATTACCTTGGAAGCAATCTGAAAAGTAAAATGGAATTCTTGTTAGAACTCACTTAGATTACTCCTTAGATTTCTTTCAGAATTAGAAAAAATGCCGGCTTCGGCAATACCTTGCTATATTACCGACAGGGAGTCGTTGAGCGCTCAAATTTGACCAATCTCTGAAACATGATGTATATTCACCTCATGCAAAAAATAAACGCACATGGACCCTGACGATAATAGGTAAAGGTATTGCTGAACCGGTAATTTAAACCATCACTAGAATATTTTCTAATAGTTAAAAAACCACGTCGTCAAGGGGTAAATGAAATGTTAGAGTGTTGATTTTATGTAATTCGATTCTTTGGATCATGATGCACCTTCATGCAAAAAACCAGTGCTCAAAGACTTCATTTACCTTACCCCCTGACAATAATAGGTAAAGAAGTGCGGAAACTGTCTTCTCCACTACTTGTTTTCAAATTTGGAATCATGGAAAAT